AACTGTGCTGTACATCTGTCTGCCCCAGGTGTAAGATATTTTGCTAATTCTCCTTCGTGTACACCAGGACAGACCTCTGCACACTCTGTCCCATGCCACTACACCATGAAGTCAGGAAGTGGTACCCTCGCAGGTCTCCAGGTGGCATACACACCCCCTACACTCACACAGTGAGCATGACCCTTTCTGTCACCCCCATGGGCAGCAGCTCAAACACCACAGCCTCCCACTCCTGATCCTGCAGGCGTTCATGTCTGTATAGATCCATGGCTTCCAACCTTGCCCTGGAAGCCAGAGTTAAGTTCCAATTTAGCAACTTAGAACACATCCTAGTCTATTCATAGCCCCCGAACATACCAGCACCCTAGCTATGGGAGCTTTCTTTTTTCCTGGCTGTGCCAAAACCTCCCTGTAAGAAGTAGAAAAATAGGATGCAAGAAGAGGACCACAGGCAAAAAAAGACTATTTCAAGAAGACATAAATTGATCTCTGTGCTGAAAGGCAACATGGTCTATCAGAATCTACAGCTCCTGCATTACAGCTCCGTCACAAGTTATTTCTGTCAGCTCCTACTTACCACACATAGGTACTTTTGACACTATGGGAAGTAAGAGCAACGAGCTCTCTATTTCTTAGAACTAAACCCAACCTGCAGGATCTCATACCTGATACTGAATCTGTAATCTGCAACTATTGATGCTCTCTATGGAGAGCATTTTGAAATCACATTCTGCATAACATAAACGTTCTGCCTTTCCAAACTGGAAAATTCAAAGTTTTTTGCAACTTATATAGGTACTTTTTTCCCCAGAGTGAATTCTCTATGGCCATGCTCCACAAAGCTTTGCTATGCAATGTAAAATTGTAGGCTTACCAATTTCAGAAGAGTTCTCCAAAGGAAACACTCAATCCACTTGCAGCTTACTGCCCAGTCCTTCTCCCTTCCATCTCTTCCCTAGTCCTGACTACTCTCTTGACAAGCACTTTGACCATTATGAGGAATTAATACTCTCAAGTGGCACAATTCAGACAACGGGAGAGCTGTGACATTTCAGAACGCTACCTCAAGCCCTTTCATAGCACATTTGTTCAGCACATCCAGAAAAAAAACAAGACATGCAATTGGTTAAAAAGGAGGCATGAACAACAATTAAACAGGCCACAAAGATCTACACAGAAAACCAGGACTAAGTGCAGAGGCAAAACAAACACAGTAAGGGACCTCTGTAAATGGAAGCTATCGCTTCCACAGCACAAAACAGCTCTAGGACCATACAGACCACAAGCAAACCATCTTTCCCAGTGTCTCTACATACAGAATCTTCACAGGTTTTAAGAAAAAGACATAGCCTTATGCAATTTCCTGAAAAAAATTTTTTTTTTAATTCTGTATATCCATGCAGACTTGTTTAAGCAGAAATATGAACTTGTAAGTTTCTAAAAGGCAGCTCCACACATTGACAGTTAAGTTTTTCAGAGCAAGTGAGATCATTTTTCTATGCTGCATCAAGCACATAGAACATTTCAGATACTGAATAGCTTCATTTAGCTCCATACCTCTATGACTGACAAAACACAAAAGCCATTAAAATAAAGTGCAGAATCACAACTGTGCAAAGAAAGGGCAAAACATGCATCCTATTGTTTCTTGGTCTTTGTCACCAACTTAGACTGGTTTAATTTTGCCATCTTCTGTAAGGAGGGAGAGGTAAGGGAGGGGAGCAAAATAAGTGGTCTCTAAAAAACTGAAAAGCTAAAGACAAAAAATTTTCTATATAGATAGACATATGCCTATAAAATGAACTTCCACTGCTGAGTGGGAAAGCAGATAGTGATTGAACCCACGTCCTCAAAATACTGTGCTTTACTATCAGCTTGCATTTTAGCTCCATAGGCAAACAACTTATTTTCTTCTTCAGGTCCTACAGGAAAGCCGGTACTTGGAGCTCAGGCAGCACTTGAAATACTTTTATAAAACAAACCACAAGAGAAGTTACTCTTCTCCTAGAGATGCTCCATTCCAGAATATACAGTTCCATAAGCTAAAAAGCCTCTTCTTCCAAAATTCTTTCCTTAGCAGTTGTAGATCAACAGAACCAGAACTATATACAAACAGGAGATATGGTTCCTAAATACTGCTTCAGGATCACTATCTCCATCATAAGCTGAACTGTTCATCCCCATTAGTATAGAGAAATTAAAGGTAAAAGAGAAATACTTGTTTGTGCATCAAGCCAAGTCCTGAGATCAATTTGGCAAGGCCACACGGATCAATCAATTTATACCACACCCACTGACACACAAGATAAAAGACCACAAGAAACAGGTAATCTCTAGCATCCTTGTTAAAAAATAAAGAAAAAACACACAGGGAGGAAAACCAATCCTTACCTACAAAAACCTCTGTAAGTAATCAGTTTAACATTAAAAATTAAGAAGCTGGAATTCAGCTGCTGTCTCTTGTCTCTCTCAGTTTCCAGAAAAATAATAAAGGCTGACAAACAGGGTATGAAACAACAAACCACCATTTGCCTGTAAAAGGACTACTGGAGGACCAGAAGCCAAAAAAAGTTCTGTTCTTGCTGCATGGATGCAATGAGCTATTATTAACTTGTGTTAACTATCACAAATGAATTAACCAGAGCAGCATTGCACAGCACAGAATTCTCCTCGACAGCAGTGAAACAAGGTGATCAACACTCAGATGGTAAACGTGTGAAGGAATTCTCCACATCTGGCCTTTTCTTCTACTGATCACACGATTATTAAAAGGGAGACCCTGTCAAAGCCCAGCAGTCATTTTTTATCTCATCCTGAGTGAGACTGGACAACATAATACTGTTTATTCTAAGCGTATCTCATTCAAGGTGACCAAGGTCATTGCTAACTAAGAGCAACGAAAAAACACTTACAAAATACAAAAATAAGTCGCCTGGTCTAAGAGCAAGCAGGTTCTTGCTGGCTCTGGCTGCAGTTCACCTAAACTGCAGCTAAACTCCTTCTGATAACGTATGAAAGTTCTGATTGCATGGCAGAGAAATACAAATCCACCAATATTCTGTTAAACATCAATCTGCATCCAGCCTGTAACACGGAAGAATTTCTTAATCCCTCCTGAAGTCTTTTACTGAGCAACAATTAACTTTGGCCACTATCCTTCTGCACTGAGTGCTAAGAATTATTTTGCGTATGCTCAGTGAATACACCCCATTTAAAGACAAGCAACTCAGAAAAAAAGGTCAGAAACTGCTAGGTTAATTCTTTTTAGGAAAACAACACTGAGTTATTGAAAGAAAAGCTTTCACATTTTTCTTTGCCTAAAAAACAAATAATTAAAAAATCTGCTTAATTTTTATTGCAAGTTGCTTTCTAACTTCTTTATTTTTCATAACACTGACCACAAAGATTGGATTTTCATTGCACGGGGGAAATACGGAGAAGCTCCGCAACTACATCTCTGCTTGGTGGAATGAGACCGTGTTGGGCTATCAGAAATAGTGTTAATACTTAAGATACAGTCCTGCAGAAATCAGAATAGTCAGCAACCATGAAAACAACACTATACAAGTCAAACTTTTGGGTTTTTTTAGTTATTTACAGGTAGTTTCTTCAGTGTCTGTTTAAAACTTAAGTATCCCATCAATTCCTGTTGACTTTAAGAATCTACAAGCCTGTAAAAAGTAAGATTATTTCCTCACATACCCAACCTCAAGCAGAAGTCTCACAGGTTTTCTTTGCCCCACGCTTCAGCCACAAGCAAAGCTTAAAACAGCCAAAAGCTTGATTTTACATCCCTCTGCAACCAGACGCGCGGATCGGCCCCAGCAGCGAGCGGGAGCGGGACAGAGAACAGCGCGGCTCTAACCCGGAACAGCCTGGAAAGCAGCACGGCACCAGGCTCTGCGCTTCCTCCTGTCGTGTCCTTGCAAGGTGCATTCCCTACGGAGCGGAATTCCACCCTTTGCCCCGAGCACCTTCGGGCTGCGCTCGCCGCTCACCTGCCCGAGCGAGCAGCGCCGCCGTCCCGAGTGCAGCGCTACCCGCGGGCCAGGAGGCGGGACCCGGCGGCCCGGCTCTCACCCCGGGCCGACACGCCGCGGCGGCCAAGGGCACGGGGAGGGAAGGCCGCAGCACCGGGAGCCCCCTGCCCGGGCGCAGCCCCACCGCCGCCATCGCCCGCCGGACCCCGCACACGTCCCCCCCGCCGGGGGACGGCGCCGCCGCCGCTGCGGAGCGACCCCCGGCCCGAGGGCCCGCACCGGGCACCGGCGCCCTGCCCGCTGCAGCGCCGCCGCCATCACCCGCATCCCTTCCCGCACCGCTGCGCCGCATCGCAGCGGAGGAGCTCGCGGAGCCAGGGGCATGGGCAGCGGCACTACCGGGTGCTCCGCTGCCCCATACCGCTCCGCCGCCACCTCCTCCTCCTCCCTTCCGCCCCCTCTCCCTTCCGCCGCCGCGACCGCTTCCCATACCGCGGCCCGGCCCGGCACAGCCCCACAGCCACCGCCTCTCCCGGTCCCAGCTCGGCTTCGCCCCGCTGCGCTCCCCGCGAGCCACCCGGGCCCGCGTGCCTGCTTACCCCGCCACCGCCACCGCCCCCAGCCCGGCCCGGCCCGCGCCCCGCCCCCGCCGCGCTCCCATTGGCCGAGCCCGTGCGCCCCGCGCCCCAGCCAATGGGAGGCGGGCCCGGGCGGGGCTCCGGCCAATGCGGGGCGGGCCCGGCGCGGCGCGCGCGGCGGCTGCAGGGGGACGTGAGGCCCGTGAGGTCCGTGCGGCGGCGGCGGCGGCGGGCGGGGGCGGCGGGGGCGAGGCGTGAGGAGCGTGTGCTGCGAGCGGGGCGGCGGCGGCGGCTCCGGCGGGGGGACGGCTCCCCCCGGGCGGCGGCTCCGGCGGCGAGCGGGGACCGCCCCGGTGGCGGGGACAGTCAGAGGTGGCGGTGTCTCCCCGCGGTCCCGGCTGGCGGGGCGGGGGAGGGTGGTCCCGCGGCGGGGAAGGACAGGGCGGGCAGCGGCCGCACCCCGCGCGTTAGGGGGGCCCGGGGAACGGCGGCTGTCGCTGCTCGGGCGGTCTCGCCGGTCCCTCTGTGTGTGCACGAGGAGATGGACAGGAGTGCCGCGCCCGGCAGACTCCAGGGAGATGCCAAGAGACGGGAGCAACTCCCATTTCCGCGTCGGGGAAACCTTTGTTGGTGGGGTGCCTGTGTGGGTTTTTCAAAGCATCGGCTTAAACCCGGGGCTGATGCGTTGGGAACTGTTCGTGATGTTGGGAAACGCTTGTAATATACATTGGAAGTAAAAGCATCGCGTGGTCTCCTACAGGTCGTTCCCGTCTCGCAGAGGCTGCAAAGGGCGCAGAGTCACAGCCGGCGCTGTGCCCGTCTGGATGCTCCGGTCAGCGCCTGCCTCTGTCAGCAACTTTCCTGTCTGAAAAACAACAATGCATTCTTTATGGTGCATTTGCCACATGGCTGCATCAGTGCAGAAGTACATTTGGATGAGGTTTGGAGATTAAATCATTCGTTTCTTCCTCAACCAAACAGGATTCATAATTCTCTAGAGGTGTAGCGTAACCTCCAGGAGTGACCAACACACACAGCCCCGAGCTTTAATTTCAGCATTGTTGGTTGCTTGCTTTGGTCAGCCTTTTAGCTTACTAGTGGCTTGAACTGAGCACTTAAATCCACATGGAAGGACCTATATCTAAGTAGGTGTTGTGGATTTGTGAAGAAGCAAACTGGATAAGTGGTCTGCTGTAAGTGTGTATAGGGTTTTAACCCTACAAAATCTCTTGGTGAATATTACTGCCAAGCTGTTAGTGCCAAACTTGCCTCCCTCTGATAATTAGTATCTCCAGCCGCTTACATTAAAGCTTATTTGGCTGGTATTTATGAACATACTAAATATTGTTTAAATGGTAAATATTACCTATAATTCTTCTTTTTTGGTGTTGTTTTCCTTAAATAAAATATGTGCTTCCCACCCAAGCCCTACTCAGTGTCCTAGGTGAGCGATGGGGAGGTCTCTGCAAGGCACTGAACAGAAGGCTACAAATAAATTTATCAAAACACATCACCCAGACATTATCCGATTAGAAGCAAGCCTCGGTCAGGACTAGAAAGCCCTAGATTTGAACTCGAAAGATGAAAAAAAAAGTTCCCTCGGGAAGACACGTTATTGATTTAAATGCTGTAGGCAGGGGTTGTGTATAGACATGTGTATCTGAAATGGAAAGACCAAATGTGACACTTCTGTGCTTGATAAGGGGATGGAGACTTAATGTGTAGACAATGCAAAAACACGGCTGCAATAAAATACCAACCTCGAAAAATTTTCTTAGTTTCAATACTGACACCTCTGGAAATGCACACAAGTTAATTGTTCTGTTTGTTGTTAATTTCATGCTGTTTTCTCTAAAGAAACAATCATCTTTACCCTCACCTGAAAAAAAGGATGAGTTTCAGATGTCTTTTCTAATTACACACTTTTATCTATTACTGTACTGAATTTGGATGTCAGTGCTGTGTAACATCACTTTGCTTGCATCAGCTCCGCATTAATTGTGAAATACCTCTTACTCACTGTGCTGAGCACGGAGAACTGGAGGGTTCCTGCATGAGCACACTGTCATGGCTCGAGAGGTAGGCAGAGCAAGCACAGGATGAAGCTCTCCCCATCTTTCAAAGACAAGCCTGGCTGGTTGCCTTTATTCACACGTGGTAAACCATTGAGTATTTCTGACACTGCTGTTCAATTTGCATCACACCTTCTGTTGCCCAGGTTTTCTGCAGCCTTAAAGGACCTATTGAGCTCAAGGGTAGCTCTTTCTATACTTAAAGAAGAGAGAAGTGTCTGTTTTCTCACCCAGTTTGAAGTGCAAAGAGGTAACACTGGAAGCTGGACTGAAGCTGCTGGGAGCAGATGGTGTATGTACCTCTTTGTTACTTTTTAGTTCTTGAGGGGAATAGGGGCAGGACACCTAGGACTCACAATCAAGAATCCAGAGGCTAATTTTTGTGGGGATGATTGCCTAACTTTGTTCACAGTCCTAAATAAAAAATCAGACATGGTGTGTGTGAAGTGCTGGAAGTTATTCCACGGCAGAAGCCGTGCAGGATCTTCCTGTAAACTGGAGAAAAATGGTAAAAGAGAAAAAATATTGTCAATATTTTATATGGTTTAGTGCTACTAGACTTACAGCCTTAACCCTGGAAAAAAAGAAGGGGCAGAGTGCTGTACTGGAAAAATAAACGAGGTAGTCATCCTTTTCTTCAGAAATGGTATCAGTGCTTTATGTAACAGCCTCATTGTTGGCTGTTCCTGTGGGCTTTGAGGTGTTCAAATTCAGGTTCCCTCCCTGCTTGTGAAGACTTAGAGCATCCCACCCTCCTATTGGGACACTAATGATGATGTCTGCTCTTGCCTTCTCTCCAGCCTTATTCATATTATTATTATTGTTCTTTATTTTTATGGTCTACACAATGGGAAAGCTCAGCAAGAGGAAATGAGAATGGAGTGCTCCTGCATCCCTTCCAGATCCAAGGCAAATATACAGTCTGACCTTGTGCAAATTGTGCCTTGTTCAGAGACAGGAGACATGGACATGAATCCCGTGAGGATCAGCACAGGCTGGTTTTGTGCCCTTCACCAAAGGACTGTAGGTAAAACAGCAGTGAGATCTTCATCCATGCACTGAATCAACTCTGAGAGTTTGTGTCGGAGGTGATCTGCCAAATGTGCTGTGCACTTAACAGATAAAGCCCTTCCAAGCAGAAGAGAGGGAAGAAACACAGTCCCTATGGAGAGGCCTTTTTTACAAGGGCCTGTAGTGACAGGACAAGGGGGAATGGATTCAAACTAAAAGAGAGCAGGTTTAGATTAGATACTGGGAAAAAATTCTTCACTGTGAGCATGGTGAGGCACTGGCTCAGATTGCCCAGAGAAGCTGTGGATGCCTCATCCCTGGAGCTGTGCAAGGCCAGGCTGGATGATGGAGCTCTGAGTAGCCTGGTCCAGTGGAAGGTGTTTCTGTCCATGTCAGGTGGGTTGGAACTAGACAAACTTTAGGTCCCTTCCAACCCGAACCATTCTATGAGTCTCTGAAAATTCTATGTAAATACCTAAACACTGGCATCCTATGATGCTTCACTGACTCCAGTGTGATGTGACAGCAAATGAGGTTGTTGCAGATGTATGCATTGCAGATCTGAATTTTCAGAGCAGTCCTGTGAAAAAGCAAGTTCCTAGACTTTGAGGAGTCTCTTGATTGCCTAAAAGAACAAGAAGTGAACATTATTAATAAATCAGCCACAACACATCTTTGGCAGTACAGCCGTCATTTGCTTCTCACAGCTTGTTCAATAGTATTCTGTTCAGTCAAATTTCAACATACTCCAGAAACATTTCTGTGAGTATTTCTAGCCAGAATCTTACAGATATAAGGGTTATATAACTCAGTCTTTTAATAAATTATAATATAAGCATGATAAATTTGATTATAGTAATATGAATTACAATAAAGCTATAAATAATATAATGGCATATCTATAATATATAAATATAATTGAAATTATAATAAATTTTAACTGATAATTATAATTTAACTAATGTGGGAGTCCCACTCCCTCAGAGCCTTCTCCCTACAGATGTCTAAATGGTTTGTTGAAGATTATTTAATTCTCCAAATATCCTAATTTTGAAAGTTAGAGTGAGGTCAGTACCTTACCTGAGGTCAGTGGGAAAGCTTGATGTAGCAGTGGAAGTCCTGATTCCATAGGAAATTCTTTAACTGTGCCATCTTATCTCCATCTCATATTGCTTGTTGATATTTATGTAATGAAGGGCTTTATGGTGCAGTTTCACGAGGTGCAGCTCTGCTGCAGGCCTGGGGTAGGAGCAGCAAGAAGGGCACAAGGAAGAGTGAGTCCAGGGCTCTCTGGCTCTGAATTCCAGCGGGATCCCTGCCAGCCTTTGGGTGGGATTGCGTTCCTCCTCCTGTTCACTGTTTTCTGAGAGGAGTCTGTTTGCTCACTAACTAGCAGCTCACCATTCATGGGTGCGAGGGAACACCCAAAAAACCCTCTGCCAGTGCTGATGTGACTAAAGAAGCCGGTGAAAGCTGGCTTCCTTAAAGCCTTGTACAAAGTGGGACAAGTTCCCAGGGAGGAACACTGGGAGGAATGAGCCGGAATGGCTGAAGTTCTACAAACAAAAAAAAAACTTGGAGAACCACAGCCTGGAAGGATCTTTGGGCCCTGCAGTAGGAAGGGCTCCATTGCAACAGGAAATTAGTAGGCAGACTACTAACCTGTAGAAAAAAGAGTTAATGGAGTCTCAATTAAGCAGCAATGGTCATGTAATTAGGTTGACAAGTATCCAGGCTGTTCAGAGAACACTCAGAAATTCTTTTGTGTAGGACAGGCCCAAGCTGTTTTGCTAACCACAATATATATGATTGAACTTGATGAACTTGGAGGTCTTTTCCAGCCTTAATAATTCTAGGATTCTATAATGTATGTCACCATCCTTCTCCAATGTTCATACAGCTAACCACAAAGCAAAAGGCGCTCTGGAAATATTTTCCTCATTCCTCCTTCTCCAAGCAACTGCTGAGGCTTAGATAAGCTACCTCTTGAGTGGTTTTGCCTTGTGTTCATTCTTCTTTAGAAGGTAATTTCTTCAGGGCAGATGGAATGTCTCTGACTACATAGATTTAGGGTGTTCCATAAACATCATAATATAGGGATGATGAAGTGAAACAATTGAAGTGGAAGTCACCGGACAGGTGGCTTGGTTTTAGTAGTTAGCCTGTAGGTATTTCAAAACTTTGACATGTGTCAGTGATGCTGTTTGTACCATATGTTATTTATATGGCTTTATGGCCAAGGATGAGAGCAACAGCTTTCAGAAAGAAATGAGATCTCTCTGACTCAAACAGTGGTAAATGCACATCCAGTATCATCATAGGATCCAAATGATGGGCTATTTTTGTCACGCTTAATACTGCTCTGATTTTTGAACTGTGTATTTTCATCCCAAAGCACTCAGGCATTCATGGCACTTGTTCTTTTTTCTCTCTCCCCTCACTGCAAAGGGGCAGAGACAAGGCTCCATTTCAGTTAGCACCTTATTTTCAAGATGATTTAATGCTGTCAGAAGGAGATGAATGTTTTCTGTCCAAGAGGAAGACACAGTGAAGGCAGCAGGACAGATATTTCATAGAATCATAGAATATCCTGTGTTGGAAGGGCAAGATCATTCAGTCCAGCTCCTGGCCCTGTACACCACGTGCCTGAGAGTGTTGTCCAAATGCGTCTTGAACTCTGGCAGACTTCGTGCTGCGACCACTTCCCTTGGGAGCCTATTCCAGTGCCAACCACCCTCTGGGTGAAGAACCTTTTCCTGGTATATAGCCTAAACCTCCCATGGCATAGCTGGTCACCAGAGACGAATTCCACAATTTCCTCCCTAGTTTTCCTTCTGGAGCTTTGAGTGAGCAGCCTTGCTCTGCACAGCTGGAGAGGGCAGGGAACACCATTGGGGCTGCTGGAGGGCTCTGAGACCCCTGTCTGGGAGGAGGTAAGCAGAGGTGACTGTCAGGTTCTGTGTAAGAACTGCTGTAGGGCTGCCTTGTCCCTTAATTGAAAGAAAGGAGGGGGCAGAAGACAAAAAAGCCTTCCCTTTGGCCCCTATGTTTTGCCTTGCCTCTCTGTGCACCTGATCACACCTCCCTCCTTTCTATATCACCCAGAGAGGCACTGCTTTGGGGAAGGAGGAATGAAGGCTGTCGAACCACAGAGGTGATTTATTATCTCCAGGGGTCCTTGGGGAAGAGCCTAAGAGGCCCTTTAGTAGCATTTGTAGTAAAGCTTAGGACTCAAGCACTTCTTTTCTCCTGCTATTATCTATCCCAGACAGGCTGCAGGGCTGGACAGGGTTTTTGTGGCTTGTGCTATAGTGCTCCAGGACATTGACTATATAGGACTGAACTCTAACAGGAGGTGGGAGCAGACCCACCAGTGCTGGGGTTATCTTTAATAATTATTTGGAGAAAAGATAACAAGTCTACTTTTGAGGCATTTTAGATAGTACTCTCCTGGATTTCTGTCCTCAGGGATGTGAGGCAGATCACAGCCTCGTTATCTTTCATCAGGGTTTGCCCCTGGCCTCCACATACACATATGCTCAGTGTGCTGAATAACGTGATTTTCTCTCCAGATGGGGAAAAAGGAGGATTGCAATGAAGATCACACAACTGGAAATTTGCATATAGGCACACGGATTTTTTTTTTTTCTCTCCTTAGATTACAAAAGAAAACAAAGCTAGGCGTTATTCTCTAGGTGAGGTAGTAACAAGCCACAACAAGCCCAGCTATACCGTGTTCATCACTGACAGAAGACTGCCAGGAAAGGCTGTGCAGCACACCACACATACACCAACCACCATGCTTGGCTGTGGCTCACACCACCCACAGTTCCCTCCAGACTTCACCACGTGGGTGCCAATTGGGCACTGCGTGCTTTGGAAAATTGGAGACAAGCCCATGGGGGTGGAGTAGGTTAAGAGAAAGACAGTGCCAGGTGGAGAGTCTGCAGATAGAAGCACTAAATGGTAGAAAGGGATACCAGTCCTTGTCTTTGGATAGTGCGTGGGACAGTACAGGGCAAGGACAGGCACCTTTGCCCCTGCCACCTTACCAGATAATGCAGTAAAACATTCACAACATCATGCTTGCTTGTTCAAATTCTGTTGCACAACAGTGCTTTTTATGGGTGTCAAGCACATCTATTTTGGATGAGATGAAGAGTACAGCAGTCTGATTAGCAGTTGTGTGCCTCGAGAATATGGTATTGCTATTTCTCCCCAGATCCATGAGACTCAGTTAAGCATTATTCAATTTGTAATTCTTTTTTATCTCCGGGCTAGACAGATCAGTTGTTTCTGCTCATTGTAAATTGCATTCGCCTGCGTAGTTTGGTGTTTTGCTCTCTCTCCTTGGCACCCAATTGTTTACACGTACCTCAATCTATCCTGCACACACAAGGTGAGAAGGCTCAGTTCTTTGTAGCTTCCAGCCAGGGTTCACTTTACGGATTATCACTAGCAAAGCCACTCACCCCCTGGGAAAACACGGCAACTTAATTTTGAAGCTAGGCAAACAGAGGCAAGTCCTTTGCTTGCATTTAGCCACTCTAAAGAGATTTTTGTGAAGGACAGAAAAGTTATCTGGAACAGTTTGGGCAGAGTTGTTCTGAAAGGGAAGGCAGGCTGGAGCCAGAGAACATGGGAGAAACAGGGTTATTTCTGAAGACTTTACTGGAACTAAGAATTAACACTAGTCATCAGTTTATTCTGCTGGTTAATGGTAAAGTGTGCTGCCAAACTCAACCATTGCCCCCAGCTTCTGGCACAGTATTGCCACATCTCACAGCTGGAGAGCAGTGAGCCACCTTGTCCCAGCCTGGAATCATCCCCAGAACATCATGTTTTCTTTCACTGTCCTGAAAGCCAGTACTTATTTTGGCTTTCTGGCATTTGCCTCACTGTTTCAAAACACAGTAAGGTGTAGGAGGGAGACATGGAAAGCTGCAGGGTGTTTCTGAGTGCCCGTGTGGCAAACATACAAGCTCATAACCTCCATCCAGTTGGCTGAAGGTGATTCACAGAGTCATGACAATTTACTTCTAGCAGTCAGTCTAGGGGGATGGTGTGGTTTCAAAAACCTAAAGCCAAAACCAGCACAGGGGAAAGCAGAATAATTTCTACCTTTGGATGCTGACCCTTTCCCTGCTTTGCTGTGGCTATAAATTCAATACCAGAGGTCGCTTGAGAAGGACTGTATAATCTAACCTCTGCTGTCTTCATCAGTGTCTGCATACCTGGACAGAGGGAGACCCACTGGTAGCAGAACATCCTGACTGACATGTAATCTGAGAGCAGCTGAGAGGAAAATGCCAGCAGTTAACAAGCCTCTGGAATGACTGATGGAGAGACAGTCCAGACATCCAGGTTAAGCCCTTAATTTTACTCTGAGCAAATCATTCAACTCCTCTGTAAAACAGGGCTAATGGCATTCTTCTGCTCCATCATGCTCAGGAAGCCCGATGCCTAAAGAAGTGTTTGGAAAGCCTCAGTGGAAGCACAGCAGAGTAATTTCAACATGCTCTGTAGCCATGCACAGGGAAAAGGCCTTGCCTTCAGGCACAGCGGTGCCAAGAACCAGCGCTGCAGGTTCACTCTCTCATCAACTCCCAGATGCTTCCGAGAAGATTTCTAGCCTAGAGGAGCCCAAGGTGAGAGCACAAAGATGACCCTTTCCTTCAGCAGTCCCACTGCCCAAAACCTGGGCAGTGCCTGCATCCTGCACCATCCACTCCACACACTTCAACAACTGTGGCTTCAGTTTAACTGGTGGCTTCATTTCACAGCATAGGATATGTTCCTTTCCCAAAATGCAGATTTTCTCACTGTTCTCTGCAGCATCACTTCCTATTTCATGACAGTATTAAACAGCATGTGCACACACAACAGTGGCAGAGAAGGTGCCTTAATCGTTTACATCCCAAGTGCCTTTGGTATTGCTTTATGTCCCCTGCTAGCCCTCATTTTCCCATCTTGTTTAAGTCCTTTAAGTTACAGCTGCACTGCCATAATGAGCCTGGTGAGAGAAGCCAGCACCCCACTCCTCTTCTATAAGCCTAACCCATGCCTCAGGTGTGTTTCAGTTTTTCAAGCCTTGTATTCTTCCCTAGGCTGAAAAGCCACAGCTCAGAGTCTACAGGAAAACACATTTGCTGGAATTCTGTTCTCTATTACTTTGCTGCACAACCTGGAGTTTGAATTGGCAGCATGATGAGTTTTCTGAAATCATTTGGTGTGTTCACCATTTCATTCTTAGCATGCCCACACAAATCACAAAGGGACAGAAACCAGGGGGCTTTTTTCCTTATTAAATAAGAAAGTTTACAGTTTTCATGCCTCTTGAAACCTGCATGGAACACTCTGGAAAACTATGGGCACAATATTTGGAGAACAAAAATAGCTCAAATTTGAACTTCCCAGAATATCACAAAGGCTGTATTTGGTAGGGGCTTACAGAGAGGGCGTGCCGTTTCTGGCATGATGAAGGGATAAGATGTTCCTGTTAGAACAATTCTGTTAATGCTATTGGCACTTTATTGCTACTAACTACCCGTTGGCACATAGGATAGGTAGCTTTTAAAATAATTCCAAATACCTACCTTCAGCTCCAGGGATCTTGCTTGTCTTACACCAGTTTTGAAGGAAGGCTCAGATTCTCTCATAAATAGATGCAGCTCTATGAAGTCAGGAAGAATTGTAATTGCTTATATTTAGCTTTGTAGAAATTGCAGATGGTATGACATAAGTTAAAAAGGTTGGATCAGTCTTCTGCACTTGCTCTCACACTTTTTACATGATTCCTGGTCTGCTTAAACACAAATTAGCTGTGGAGTTACTTGTGTTTTATATCAGGGTTAGCAAGGTCTCCTTGAAGTCATAGAAACCAATGATATAGGAGAAAATAGGCCTAAAGCCTTTCCTACTCCGCCCCCTTCTGCAAGGCAAGTCCAGGAGTGCCAGGTTTCATGGCATTTATTTGTGCACAGACCTAATCCTGAGTTTGCCTACAGGACCTGTCACTTAGCTCAGGGTGCATTTGATAGGGCTTGACCAGTTCCCAGTTTTGGAAAACTTCCATTCCAACTACTTGGCACTGTACCTGTCTCAGGTTTCTATATCAAGGAGTTTAGCCACTTCCACTTCAAAGTCTCTGTTTATTTATATCTTTTTAATACTGAGCCACAAATAGTGCTGAGCACTGACACCTCCCAAACCCTGCTCTTGGGAACCAGTCAAACGTGTTGCACGAAGAAAATATCAGTTCATAGTTACTTAACTCCTTCAGTGCTCAGGGCAAATGCCTTGAATTTAGATGGGAAAAGGTGGGTGATAGCAAACCTGCTGCAAAGGAATAAGTAAAAAAAAAAAATGTTAGTGACTTATGTGATGATGTTTGATGCCCTGATCTGATGTGGGCAGATCTTTCTTAAGTAGCCAAGCTTAAACCCAGCATTTACTCTCTTGTTCTGGTTCTCATTTGCAGAATTGGGAACAGCTCACATCGTTTTACCTTACTGGGGGTAGAGGAAGCAAGGATAAATTCAACAAGCAATGCAGCAGTGTGTTAGGGGGCATACAAACAGTGGGAGGAGAAGTCCTGACAAAGATACCACATTTGTCCAGGCTTATAAAACAACTGAGTTCAAGAAAATTGGATACTCCCTAGTTCTCCTTAAGGCACAAACAACAGAGAATCATAGAATGATTTGAAAGGGACCTTAAAGACCATTTATTCGGAAGTTCCTGCTATGGGCAAAGATACCTTTGACTAGATCAGGTTGTTCAAAGCCCCATCCAACATGATCTAACTCAACCCACTGCCACGAGCTGCAATGACAGCTGTGTGCTCCTTTTTCCCTCCCCAGATTAGCAAGACCTACAGTGATAGAACAGGTAACTGCAAGTGAGAGGAAGAATGACAAATCAGTAAGTATAATTATTCCTTTCTTTCTTGAGCATGCTCAGAAGAAATCTTATTTATCTAATAAAATTTATCTAATAAATTTAGGACTGAAACTAGGGCTGAATACTTTATTAAAAAGAAAAATAAATAAAAGGGGAACCCCAACAAAATGGAGTGTGCAATGTAACAGCAGCTCCTCACCCAGAGCTGCAGTGCTGAACATGGCACCACACTGAAACCAGCTGTTTTTAAATGGATTCTGGTACAGAGTGAGCTCATTCTCTCTGAAAGTCTTTCCTGTGCAGTGCCAAAACTGCAGCCATGCTGGAATGTGGGGTGCCTACACTTTTCCTGCTGCGAGGGAGACTCTAGGGCCTTCACCCTCACTGAAAAACAAGGGGCACACAGCAGAGTACTTTAAAATGGCTGGTACTTCTCCACATAGACCGACTGCCCTCCCGTGGCTGTCAAGGAGCATCTCTGATACAGAAACAGGGAGCCCAGGGATTCAGGGGAACAAGTAACTAATATTCAATTTAAACCAAAACCCAAGTTACAAGGAATAGGAAAGCAAACACAGCGTGATTGACTAGAAGTACCTATGAGGGCAAGAACAAAGCAGGGAAGTTTACTGGTTTGGGAGTAACACAGGGAATTCCAACTGCTTTTGCAAGGACAGTGAGCCTCGAGCTATTCTTCACCAGAGTCCTTCAGAGAGTGCCATTTGCTCAGAAAGACGGTCCAGCTTCATCCAACTGCCTCATGGAGAAGACTCCACTAGCAACAGTGCAAAGAAGGTAGGGGAGAGCAGACCACTGCTCCTTTTTCTGACTGTGGTATACAGGTGCTATGACCTTGCTGTATCTACAAACCCTCATTGGCACAGCTTCAGCAGTGTTTATAAAGCTCTTTCTGAAACACCTGGTACTGTAAATGTGTCATTTTCTCTCTGTAAACTGGAAGGAGACAACATTTCTAGCACAGATTAGCTTCTGGGGGCCTTCTCTAAAGAGCCTGAAGTTAAGTTTTATGAATGAGACCTCGAGTATCCCATGAGAACTGCATGGTTATGCAAGGAGTGTCGTGTTTCTTACTTTCTCTATGACTGTGCTGCTTCTTGTGCACCCTCTGTGGGCAGAGCACATCTCCAGTCTTTGACACGCTGCAGACACTTCAAAACACAACAATCCCAGAACAATCAAAATCAAAAGCAATAGTGAAGGTGCTTTTGAGGGCAAGAGGAAACACGGTAATAAGCACAAGCAGCAACTCCGTGCTCAGAGGGTTACAAGGCCAAAGTTGCACACGCTTCTAACAAAGGCACTAAATGCTGCAAGGAGGCCATGTACCTCCCAGCAATGAAAAGTTACACTGGGGATTTGCATGAGACAGGCTCACCACCGTTTCTGTTCATGGACTTGGCTTCATCTTAAAGACTGGTGTATGTTCATGCTATATTTGAGATTAGATGCAAGGAAACACTCAATTTAGACTGGAGAGGTGACCAGGATCATGTAGGAAAATGCCAATACATGGCATCTCCTATACGACTTCAGGCTGTTGAGTGACACCAGCATCAGGAAGGGCATCACCCCAGCCTACCTGACAGCTGTGCTTTTTGGGAGATGTGCATCAGTGTGAGTATTGGGATTTCTTCAGGGTGAAAGAGACTGCAGTTCAGCAGAGCATGAAGCAAGTTGAAATTGGTGAGTGAACACAACAGACAGACAAATGTTTTGCTCCTTCAAGTTGCCAGGTCACTGAGTAAGTATCTCATGTAGCAGCCAACTAGTAAGGAGAGTAAATCCTGCCCTCTCCTTTTTCAGAGCTTGGGCCATGCTGCACAACATTAACATCACCGACAAAACTTCGCCTTAGGCACAGCTGAAAATGTCTCCAGAGAAGAGACATCACTCAATGTCATTTTAAAATTGCATGTATGTGTGTATAAACACACACAAACACACGCACACACACACACATATATATATTTGTAGTAAATACATATGAGCTTTTACACAATTATAACCACTCCAGTATATACATGCTGTCACTCACCACATTCTGTTGCACTGACAGAATCTCTTGCTTGGTTACCTTTTGAATTGCTCAGTGAAAGGCCAATCTTTGGCAAGCAGATATCTGCAGAAAGCCACCAGCTCCAGCAGTGATCCTTCAATATTTGAAGGTTCCCCTCCCAGTTTCCTTCAAGTATCAGCTCTGCTTTCATAGAAATAAATTGTTTCTAACAATATGCTACAACCCTGATAAGCCAAGCAGGATTTTTCCTCCAGTACATACAGATATGTCACATCCTCTCTACACCACGCAATGCAAAAAGTGAAATCATGTTTGCCAGTGATTGTAATCCAATTTGGCCCCATAACTTAATTAAAAAGAACAAACACAAACAAACGAATAGAAAAAACAACGCTCACAAAAACTTTAAAAATCAGCAGACAGAACTCTACTGATTTACGTTTCCAAAGGAAATACCTTTTAGTAATAGTTAACCTCTGTCTGCAGTTGTTAAATCCAAACTTTGCAAATGTAAGAAATGAGGACAGAAAACTAACAGAGAGGAAGAATTACTTATTGTCCAGGCTGACACACACACACTCAACTCGTAAAAACCCTTACGTGCTTCTTAAAAATTAGTTTGAATCACCTGCATGATGTCCTTGTTAAATATCAAAGTAGATTAGCTTGAACGAGTCTATTAGAAAAAGGTACTACATTAAAAATGTGTAATTCAAAGCCTTATCTAAAAAGTTTTTTCAGAGATGAAGTTCTGCATCTCTCACTGACATTGCATTATTCACAAAATCTTGTGTTACATATTCTGACATTGATCAGCTGTCATAGAAAAAAAAGCTTGTTTGCATAACAAACACTCAAGTAAAAAGGAAAGGAAAAGTCACAGAACTTGGCTATTACCGAAAAACTCTCAGAGTAGAAATAAAGTTATTTTCAAAGGTGGAGAAAACATAAAGGTTCAGTCAGATCTATATACTTTTTACTGGCACCAAGCACTGATTTTTTTAATGAACTCACTTGACAGTGTGTAACTACTCCTGGAAGTAATATAACAGTAGATTAAAGTTTCCACCCCAATATTGTGATACAAACTATGACAGGATATTTCCAAAAGAGTTCCTTTGACAGTAAATAGCTATTTAAAAATTTGTAACGTAAAAAAAAAAAAATCTTTAAACAGTACAAAAACCTAGGTAAACCAAGTCTCAATCAGTGTAAGAGGGAACCTCTTCATAAAGGGAAGGTAATTCCTCCTCTGGAGTAGCTACAACAACGCACAGAAATGAGATCAGAAACACACACAGTGAGTTACAGGTCTGATTTACTGGAGTTGTTCAGTCATTTCCACCTTAGGGTAATTTGAGGATTCCAGTATGGACTCAGAAAAATATGTAAAAAAAAAAAAAAAAATTAAAATGTTGGGAGGAGAGAGCAGAAAAGTATCTGTTTTCCCACACTGGGGATCAGATGTGCTGGAATGGGCGGCCCCACCTCCAGCAGCTGCTGTGAGGAACGCACCCCACCACTGACACCCTCTTCTAGATCCATCATGGCTCACTATGTCTAACTAAGGTCAGAATGAATAGGCATTTGGGGTAATTTCAACCGATGTTGTGTGCACAGCAGCCAGCTCACGAAGTTCAGCCTCACTGCTCTAGTGCTCACATGCTGCTCTGTTCTGTGCACGTTGCCTGCTATGCTTTTCTAATTACTTGCACCTCATGTTTGCACAACACCTCAAGTGTATGAAGACTCAGAAATTCCACAGCACAGTAAAACTTGTGTGCAATTCCAGGGCTAAAAACACCTTAGCTTCTGGAAGATCAGACCAGATCAGACCCCTCACCTCTCCAGTGTCCCATTCTACATACAGGTTTCTGTGCTCTCAACAGCCACTGTGCACATCAAATAACATAAAAGTAACACTCTGACATCAGCAAGGAGCCAGGCTTTCCAGCAAGGAGCCAGGCTTTTCACCAAGAATCCCGTGAAAAATCTCAGTTTAACACATAACTATTAGATTTTTAGTACACAGCATGTCACAGAATTAGTGTTTTCCTTACAAATATATGGCACTAAGTGTAAAAATTTTATGACCTATTCCAAACAGTGTACCATACTTCACAGCAAAGCTTGAAAAAGAATCCTCTAACTCCCACTTCTTCTAAATATACAGCTGGTGGGAGGCCAGGGTGTCCATGAATGGTCGCACAAGGTTGTCTGTCGAGAAGTAAAAGATCAAGCCAAAGGTGATGGAGATGGGAAGAGCAGGCAGTGCCTTCTTAAAAACAGCCAGTAATAAAAGTGTTAAGCATAAACCCTGCCAGAGAAAAGAGAATAAAAAACACAAGGACATAACAGTAAGATGACCAGAAGCATATCTGCCACCAACAACCCAATATACAGATAATCAGCTATGTGCACTGTACAGCACTGGAGCCTGCCCAAGCTACCCATGGTATGATGTACATTTGCCCACAGCTTCATGTTTCACACCAGTTGGCCAGGTTTTTCCTCAGCAATCTTAGGCACATCTCTCTGCTGAGACAGTGGTATAAACAGCCAATGCTGACACACAGCTGACCCCAAGAGGTTAACTTATTTACAGATTATTTCGCTTTTTGTGCTGTGCCATTATGTACGAAGTACTGATTCAGCACACAAAAGCACTTAAATCCTGGTAAAATGCATACAGAAGCTTCACTAATACACAGCACAATGTACTTATAACATCTTCCCAGTTTACAAGGTCTCTTGGGGTAAAAAAAAAGAAAGAAAAACAAAATAAACCAAACCAACCCAAATATCCACTGCTGTTCTTTTGACTGGATTGATTACTACAAGAGGTGAAATCTGGTTTTATCTCAATAGGAGACCAAGATCTGTTTTTTGGAGCATGTGCGGAAGCTGTTGTACATTTTGAGTAGACAGTAAGGCTAAGCGCATTTAGATACCAATTCCTTCTCTCATCAAAGCCCTTTTTAACTCCTCCATGATGCCAACCTTCAAAGACACTAGGCTCCAAAAATACCCACTAGCTAAAGATCAGCAGACAAAATTTTCTAATTAATTTTTTTAACTGTTTATAGGCTAGAACTTTGTTTACAATCCACCTAAGCCTGTGGCTCTGTTCTTACACTCTCAGGGAACATCTGGCCTACATCTGCTCCTTAGTTCACATCTACCTTTAAAGATATGATTACTGCTGTGGCACTGGAGGTACATTTTTTGGGAACCAGAAAGTCACACAGCAGCAAGATTATGAAACTGCAGAAGGAGACAAGGAATTTCAACAGCATCATAAAAGACACAGACTGGGGCATTTGGCCTCATAGAGACAAGCAAGAACATTTCCCCATTGCTGGACCCCAGGATATGGAGGTGGGTGATCCTATAGGTTTCTCTGACCTGTGGGATAGGAAAGCTACACTCAACATTCTTTATTTAAGGTAGCTCATTTCTAGCTCTCATGCTTTTTGATCCACAGTCTTCACAAGTGAAAGTCACTTTCACTATCCTGAGGATCTAGCTGGGGAAACAGCAGCCCAAGAAAGACACAATAATTGATTTTCTTTTTACCTTATAAAAATCCTGCCTTTCTCATCGTTGGTTTCCATGAGGATGCTGATTAAACAGCAAGTGCATAGTAATCGTTTTCTACCTAGGTGAAAGCTTGACAGTGTGTGGTCATTAGACCTGGCAGGACCAACTCCTTTACCGTATGTTTGTCCTCTGCTTTTACTGATAATTTCCATGGATTTAAGTCTCCTTCCTTTCCATTGTTTCCAGCTCAAATACTAAAATAAGATAGGTCTTCATTCTCTTACTAGCAGCTCCCCTTAGCACAAGGGAGCTAACCTTTTCAACTTCATTTGCTAATCAATGTGGCATTTGTAATATTGACTCTTGTGGCTGATAAAAGTCCCCAGTTGTTTAATGCTGAAGCAAACACACCAACAGTTCAGCTGTAACTGTTTTTCCTGGGGCTGTTTCACCCCCTTCGTCACTTGGCTCTGCTCTGATAAGCCTCTATCACTCAGCTTCAGTGGCTGCTTAAAGCCTGTCTTTATACACAGAGCACTGGGTGGTTTCTCCTAAATATCTAGCATGCTACCTGCAGTGATTTAGCAGTGTTCAGCTGCTGGTACTTCTGGCAACACTGCTGTGCTAAACAGAGTGTAACAGAGCTTTTAAAAGCCTGCTCACTTACTATGAGAATGGCTACAAAGCAGGCAAGCGTAGTATTCCAGTCTCCACTAGCTGTGGCAGCTGCTTTCCCAACAAGCACACTGTAAAATATGAAATCTCCAAGGCCCAGCTTCACACCTCCTGAAAGAAGTGGAAAAAGAAAACAAGTGTTAATTCTGAGCCTCCTGTTTTGCCTCCTCTAGAACAAATTCTTGTCCCCTGGAAAGCAGGTGAAGGTTCCTAGTCCTGGCTACCAGCCTGGACCCGCACATTTCCAAGGAGGCTGAGACTTCCAGCCCCGCCTCCCACTAATTGTTTTTCCTCAGCCTCATTCTCTGAGGTGCTTCCCTGGGCTGCAGTTATAATGTACTGCCTGAGAAAGCACAAGGACAGAGAGGGGACAGGAGGCAAGGGGATCAAGGAACTGTTCAAACTGTCCACATAGGCAAGAGATGTCACTGTAACTACAATCCCAGAACAGATTCTGTGGCAGGAAGAAGTAATACACAGTCAGACTCAACATCTTTGTTGTTCAAACAAGTCACAACTCTTCAAATTAACTGTGATTAGTCCAAACTGTGTAACAGAGCATTAACCACAAAGAGTATAAATGTCAGGCTCTGCCTAAACTGAAAACAAGGTATAAAACTTCCCTTACTTTCCTCCTCCTCGAGCTCCTCTAAAGAAGTGACAGGGCGGGTTGGAATAGGACTCCTCATCTCTGGGATCTGAGAGTCTGTATGTGAAGGGTTCCTGTGGTGTTCTCTCCCATCCTCAGCTTGGTTCCACAAAAATAGGCCAAGAAGAGTAGACCAAAAAAAAAAGAAACACAAGAGGTAGCTACATTTATAACTTGTTTTAGTGCATGAAATCCACACTTCTGTGAAGCTGCCCTGGAATGGTAAGCCCTTTGTTTCTTGGAGGTGTGATCATCAGGACCAGTTCAAGCAGAGACATTTAGTGGCTTTGAGGAAAACACGTGTCATTATTTGTAACAGCTGGAAGGGTACGTGTTCACAGCTTCTCTGGCAGCCACCCAGGAGTTCAGTGGGTTACCAAGCGAGCACGTACACAGACCTAAGCATTGCCCTGCACAGGCTAGAAAGACAAGTAAAGCCAAGTAAAGTTAATATGCATTCCCACATTGTTATACCTTTGGGGTGGAGGTACTCAGGTATTCCCTAACTGGCCATATGACAGAAATGGATGACTAGGAGGACTGCCATTTATGAGAAAAGTCCTGTCCTGATCACACTGACACTGAAGCTGCGTGTTCACATATAAAAAGCTGACACATTTCATTGTTCACAGATTTAATTCCCCCAGCCCCCATTAAAACACCATCTGACAGAGCCCTTAATAGTGCTTTTGGAAGTAGCCAGACAGTGATCCATGATTCTATCTGACAGTTCTTATTTTTCAGAAGCTCATACAAACTCTCCAGTCCACGTCAGTCTGACAGGAGGTTGCTGCTACCACAGAGGCATTTTGTACACCTCAACATGTAGTTTGCACCTGCTCTGGGCCCAGGTTCAAAGCAGGATTGTGGCCCTGCCATTGCTTAGTTTGTTGGCTGCCTTATCCTGAAATAAGCAGCATGTTCAGTTATCAAACCTTTGCATACATTTATTGCTTTAACATTAAAAGGTACTGTCACCTCTGAAATTCTGCAGTTAACAACACTGAAAAAAATGCATCTGTCAGGATTCAGAAGCTTATTTTACTTGCAGTCTAAAACACAGACATTATCTCCATGGGGCAGTGCTCTGTATAGAAGAGGGACATGCAAACAAACCTGCGTCCCACGTCTGCTGACTTGATCCTCTTGCTTCTGTATCTGGCTTTGCCATTCCTACTGTCCACATCATAGCAGCTAGAAGAAAGAGAGAAAGTAACTGGCTGCATAAATCATTGGTCACTATAGCCCAGAGGAAATAAGTATTTAACTGTCCCTAAAAATACAAATCTTTGTCGTTGTAAATGCTTTTAAAACACTCACTCTTGGCTGGTTATCCCAGGCACTGAGAAGGCAAGGTGGGAGAAAATGAAGGCAGTGCATCCATTCAGTTTTTAAGAAGGTCCCAGAGCACAAATAGCTAAGAGCCAGTATAGTCTTCTCTGTGGGTTAAGGAAAGCAAAATTCTAGAACTAGGGTCTTCATCTCCTTTTTTTTTCTTCCAGATTTCTGGCTTTTCTCTTCAAAGAACAGACTTTCCCGGGAAATAATAGCAGTACAAAAGGTAACCAGAGGTTAACTTAATAGCTTACTCATGGTTCTGCTAGAGGTACAGCACACAAGTGAGGGGGGATATGCAGGAGTTGTCACAGTGCTAGTTTTCTCTCTGCCTGTTTGTTTTGTTTCCATCCTGTCAAAATATTGCCTATTTCTGTTTTGGTTCCAATAACAACTGAAGGACACTTGGAAGTTTATTCTTGAGATGGATCCCTAAATTAAAAAGGAATACAAACCATTCTGAAATCAGTGGAAGGAAACTTAAATTATCTGTTTATTTAAGTGTGCATCAGTCTTCCTGTTTTTAGAGAAGCTAAACTAAACAAATTAAGCCAAGGCAAATACAGTGCATGCTTTTCCACTACAAGCTCAGCCAAGGTGATGCTTTTGCATCTAGAGGGAGCCACAGAATGTGGTCTTGCAATGGAGACACTGATGTTCTGCACAAGAACTTCTCATTCAGTATTTATGATTTGCTGAACTGCATTCTCCTTTAGAGAAACTCTTTGTTTGTTCACTAAAGCATGTGAGAGACTTCATCTTGATTGTCTCAGGTCAGTATAACAATCTCCAGTAAAAGGGAGGGCAGATGAAGCCAACTGAGGCTCTTCTTGGAACATATAATAGCGTTTATATAACACTAAATGCTTGGGGGAAAAAAAAATCAGTCAGGTTGTAGGCATCCTCAGCTTAGCACAGAGCATGGAAATACTCATTCATCTTACAAGTGATGTAATGAAAAGTCACTGAAGTCCATGAAGCACCCAAGTCCAGGTCCCATGAGCATTGAGTCTCCTGCATTGACTACCATAACCTCAAGCACATATATACCCTTGTGGATAAGGGCACCAGACACCAGAGTAGTTACACAGTCCAAGAAAACCAGGGAAGAGACGAATGATTTTGTTTGCAAAGCAATACTTGAACAGAGCCCTTTGCAAAGCAGCCACGCAATTAACAATGAAGCAAAGACGTTCTAAGCACTACCATCTGTACAGTGCACAGGGCAAGAGGGGACTGCAGGAAGAATGGAGCCTCGTGATATGTTTAAAGTGTGCCTGTAAAGCTTACCCACAAGGCATAAGTTATTGAGTGAGCATCATCTCACCACAGAACCTTGCAAGCACAACTGCCCACCTTACACACGTTTTTGTATGCAGAAAAAAGGGGCATGTTCTGCACTGTATTCATTGAAGGATAAATCTTCTAAACATTTCAGCTCTAAGTGGCAAATGTGGGCTTCCTTTGGCTAATTAGTTGGCACCATTGTAACTCATAAACAAGGTCACCTAAAATGGTCTGTTCCAAGATATAAATGTGTACCAATCTTAGGGCAAGGAAGTCACTAAAATAGTGCTCTTTGGTTTGACACAGAAATAGTTCATTAGAATTCAATCTAGCTAAAAACATTAACATTCTAATCTTACTCACAGGAATATATTAAGGCAGGGAAAATTGGCTCATTTCTCTCCTGTGCAGTTTCTACCAGCATTCTCAGTGGCCCCTTGGGACAGAGAACAGCCATCAGATCTGCAAAAAGAAAAGGGCCAGTCAATCTTATCCTGAACTATCATATATATTTTACATTCTTTATCTTTAAAAAGCCTTCTCCCCTCAAAATAACATATATCAATATTAACTGCATGATTTCCTGAATGGCAGTTTCCACCACTTTGCCTAACTCTAGCTGTTCTAGTCCCTGAAAATGTTGTTCACTTAAAATACCATCTCCAACCCTTAATGTAATAATAAGAGTTTTCATAGTGCTAATCGTATAAAAAGCCTCTTGAGAATATCACATTATTTCTTTGAAAGCAGATGACAGAATTTCATTGAGGTGTTGAATTTAATTAGAGGAGGAGGAGTGGGGGTACTTCATTCACAATCCATGGCTACATACACTGGCTCTGTGTATCACATGAATGAAGGCCTTTGGTCCAGTACCTCTTTGCCTACTCTCTCTCCTCCATCAGAGCTCTGCCCAAATCTGAATGTTACTTCCTGGATCTCTCTTGTTCTGCAGGTTCTCTTGAAACTTATAACTCATACCAAAATCTGCGATCCCTCGATAACAGTAAACAAAACCTGCAAGACTATCAGGTTGCTACTGATAAAAATCCAACCACCCCTACCAACACCCCTACATGTGTTTCAGTACTTCCCTGACTTGGTGATCCACTCTGAAAGACCGGGTAGGAGTACAGTACCTACACAGCCAAGTTAGCAAGAGATAAGCTAGGGAGTCAACTTAACTGCCCATTTGCCTCTTTCTAAAGCTGGTAGCACCGTAAAGCTGTTTTTTAAATGACATACACAGTCCTGAGATTGCTTCAGAGTGATCTTTCCAGGAGCCACACCTTGACAGTCACAACTCAGACTTACCATAGATGGAGATTGCACCTAGAATCACCCATGCTGACCACTCTGGTAGATATTTAATGAAAACCAATGCCATCAGAGCACTGATCATAATGAGATATGCTTGCTGGAGCTGCAAGGGACCTTTCCAGTGGATGCAAATCATTCCAACAGCTCCAAAATTCCAGATGACTAAGAACAGAGTGGGGTAATCCATGGCCACATTGTAGGTCTTCAATACTTCACTGAAATACAACACAAAAATTCAGCTAAGCAATAAAAGCAACTATCATATAAAGCATCCTACTAGCTGTAGTTAAACAAACAGGACCCCAGCTACACCAGGAGGAAGCAGAATAGAAGCAACTCTCACTCATGAAAGGGGAAACCTGCCCTGTGGCCAATTGCTGCTCTGAGTTCTCTGTTCCTCCTGCATGAGATGGACACCTTGTGTGTGCAGACAAGCACCACACTGCCCTAGTCCCAAGTTCAACAGTGATTCCAAGGGTTTGAGCAGGCAGGATTTCAAGTTTTCACTGTACATTGGCCTGAAGCTACATGACTCTCTACAGCAAAGAAGTCAGGTTGCATGATGCTCACAGTGAAAGATGAAAAGTCTCAACAAGTATCACCCACAAGTTAAAAGTCTGAGATGGGAGCCAAGGGAATGAGCTTGAAACAATGTAGTCTAAGAAAAAGGCAAGACAAATCAGAGAAGCACCTCAGCACATGAAGTTCCTCTCCATTTGCTTCTCACTGTATAATTCAGGGCCTCTATACCACAGTGTTCAGCCTGTTCATTTCATGCTCACAGTATCACTTCCCAGTGATTTTTTACAGTAGGCACTGTAAAATCAGGTACTGCCTAATAAAGACCTCATTTTCCATTTTTTAAAAAAGAAAGCTATCTGATTCTAACAATCCTAAAACCTCCATTTGGAGAAGGGGAGACATTCCTTTCCTTATTCAAGCAGGGGACTTTCTGCAAAGAGGTAAAGGAGCCTGAACTGACAGGTTACCTGCACCGTTCCCACTTACCCAAGATATATGTAGGTAAAGAGGAAGAGCAGCATCAAAGAGGACAGGATCAGCCAGCCGTGGATGAACTGTCAAGGGCAAGAAGAGACAGTGATTGTAGGGGCTGTTACCCCTGCACAAGTCACAGTACTCCAGCCTGACAGCCTCCCTCTGCACTCCTCCTCCCATGCCCAAAGACCCTGCCTTCCCCATGGTCAGCCAGGGAGGAGGGACAGCCAGTTCCTCCCAGTTCTCCCAGACTCCTTCATTTCATATTCTGTGTCTTAGTGGTTTTGTTTGTTCGGGTTTTTTTAAGTCTCTTTCCTATGCATTTCTGTGGGTATCCACACTGGCTCATAGCTTAGGTGAGCACATTCTCTCTGCTTGGTGGGGAGGATGATGGGTTTGCTCAAGGCAAATTCATCTTTGGGACGAGTTTGCAAAGCAGGAATGGCCAGAGCTCAAATGCTAGGCTGGTACCAGATATAACACTTCCCTGGGCACCACAGAACCTGAATGTGCCTTTCCCTCCAACCCTAGTGCTCTTCCACCGGAGCTTCTACAGGCAGGAATAATATCAGTTTCCACAAAGGCTGCCTGAAATGTCTTAAGATAAGGCATTTACAATAAATAGTACAACTTAGTCCATAAGTACAAATGGCAAAACCTTTGGATCAGATGGAGAAAACTCAGACCCGAGAAACACAAAGTAGAAAGCCTCGTTTTTAAGAGCCTGCCATTAGTGACTAAATAACAGCAGAGCACATGCAGGGGCACAGCTCTACCACCACTGACAAAGGCTTCAATTTGATACCTGCTATGACTAAGATGTGGATTAGCCAGTGCAGTGCCTATATTTCTCACTGACATGCAAGGCCCACTTGAACTCAAGCTCAGGAACAGGTGGAAAAGGCTCTGTCATGAATATTTTACCTTGTAGCAGCGGTATTTATAGAGTAGAACTAGGAACACAGTCATTACAATGATGACACTGATCATTATGATGGTGTTCAACACCGAGTTCAAGAGGCGCTGGCCCACAGACGGGGTGTCCTCACTGAAAGGGGTGTAGATCCTGCAGGAGAAAGCAAAAGCCACATAAAGTATACATACTCTTCTAACTAAACACCCCAGATAAAACCAGACCTCTGTGTGTGGGAAAGAAAGGGAGGTAGGACTATCAAGGACACCAAACACGAGATGTGGCCTCTGAAGGGGCTGGGCTCAAGTTAATTATCAACTAAAGATTAGTGGTCTCTATCAAAACCACATTCCTGCAGAGAAGCTGTGGCTGGCAGAGCTCAAAACAAAAAGGCCGAGAGTATAAATGACTTTATTTTAGTACCTGCTCTCCAGGCCATGAATTTTTATTGCATGCTCTGGATCCTCTCCATGATAATTAGAAGGATATATCCCAGGTGCTGTTCTGACAGGGGGGACACCCTTTCTTTCCACACTTGGTAGGAGAGTCTTGGACTCTTTTGCCCCTTCTCATCACCCTGCACCCCTTCCCGCCACCCTGTTTTGTTTCCTTTGGTTCAGTTCAAGGGACCACAGTCCCTGTTTCCCCAACCCAATGCGTGAAGCACAGTGAGAGCTCCAGGAGACAGGCCCTAGGAGTCAGACACAGTCAGCAAGAGCTGGATGGAATTATGTATCCACACCATGAGTCTTCAGGAACCAGAAATATCACCAGGAAATGAGACACTCATCCAAATGAACATGCTATTCCCTGACTGCTGCCAGCCAGTGAGTGAACAGCCTAGGAGTTCAGCCTGGGCCTTTTATGCTGCAAAACAAAGCAGCTCCATTATCACACTGCTCACAGGCCTCTCTCAGGACACCCTAATGACAGTGCTAACGAATCACTGTAATGCAGGTATGGGAAAAACTTACACAGGTGAATGCAGCATACCTTAGTAAGCATTCTGTGTGTTTATAGAGCTGCCTTTACCTGTGTAAAGGTTCCCCCAGCCTGCCAAGGGAGCGCTCTGCGTGCACAGACACGTGTGCACGGAGGTGCGTGTGGAGCTGGGGGTCCCACGAAACTCAGAGGCTGTTTGCAGACCCCACTTACAGCTGCCCGTTTTTCTCCGTATAGAAGCGCACTGACTTTATGGTGGCGACGACAACAATCATACAAAGGGTGACAGGCACAAAGAGCTTGATTACATGCTTTGCTCCATATTTCAGAGTCAGTTCCTCCTCTTCGTTTTCCGGGGCGCTTTCTCTCACTGGAATACCCGAGCCAGACATTTCTCCACCAGCAATATTGTTTGGGCCACGGCTGCTACCTGCTCGCCTCTTCTGAAAAGAAATATTAGCAAACATATAAGATGCTTATTTTCTTTGCGTTCAAAGCTTTATTCCATCATATCTTATGAGGCTGCTGCAGGCCACCACAGTATACCAAATGGGTCCTAATAGAACCTCGTACCAACTAGTTATAAAATACCAACTGAACAACACAATAGAAATTCCAGTGCAGGCAGGTTGCAATGGAGTTTTTAAACCATAACCATGAATATCTAAGGGTCTCTTCAAGTGCAAATATATAGAGGCATACATGAACAGGAAGGGCAAGATGCCCAGAGCTGAAACAGAAGAAATGTCATCTGAGGTGGCATAAGCTTGACAATTTCCTCCCCTTGCCAGCAATGCTGTGCTTGCTTTATCCTGCTGCTTTCCTGGCAGCTGGACTAGATTCTGTTCATTAGTTGCACTGGACCAAAGCAGACAAAGGGTATCTGGCAAAACAAGGCTAAAAAGGATATCCTGCAAGATCATATGAGCATCAGGTCCTGATTAAAAGCCTCTATCCTTACCAAAAGGAAGGAAAAGGGAGGAGTATATATGGAGATAAAAATGGGGAAAAAGTCATAGTGGAGGAAATGGAAACAGGCAGTGCTGCTGCTGGCTGAGAGTGACAACACTGGCCAAAGCCAATCCTAGAGGCCAGTCTGCTAGGAGGGATTGAAGGGTAGCAGGACATCTGTCATCACACTGCATGTCCTCACTCCCCAGGACGGACGCACACCTACCCTGTGTGCCTGCACTTCCCCTGCTTCCGAAGCTTGCAGGCCATCCTGGTAGGAGGGTACTGGAGGGCTCTCTGCAGACATCAGGGATGTTCTCTCATTGCAGGGCTCCTCCTCACTGTCCGAATTGTTCATGAATGTGATCATCGCCGCTTTCCTACTGAGCACTCAGGAGGGGCACAGCCAAGCCCTACTCAAGGCTGAAGGGACAAGCAGAGCAAAGAAAACAGTGAACACCACAGTGCAAACAACAGGAAGTCTGAAAAGGAGGCTTAATTTCAGCAGGGAGGCTGCAGCACGCCACGTAACTCCATCTTCTCCTTACAGCTGATTTAGCCTGCCAACACGTCAGGCATGACAATCCGCTCCGGTAAAGTCACTGTGACTTCTGCAGTCAGGGAGATCAGCAAAATGCAGCACTGAAGAAACCTAGTACTGTTTCTTTGCCACAGCTTTCGCAGTTGCTACCTCTATTTTCCCTCTCCTACCAGTACACCTTGCCTTCCACAAACGAGGTTTCTCAGCACTCAGTGTTTATTTTGCACAGGCCAAACAAAGCTTCACTCAAACACTGGCTGCCTGATAGAAAGCTAAGAGAGCTAAGCTCTTACACAACACTCTGCAAGCATCGGCAAGTAGGAGAACTTTCTCAGTAACCTGGAGCCTCAGCTTTACATAAGCCACTAATCAGGAGTTACATGCTGTCTTCCCTGTTATGACGGTTTATTAACCAGATGAATTTTATAAGCAGTTCTTCTCTTTGCCCATGGACAGGGAGAGGTTTGTGCAGTGAGGAAAAGACCCTTTTCCTTAGGAGAGCCATTTTCGGATTTTTTGTTATGACGTCTTGTGTTTAAAAGCAAAGTTATTTGGATGGGCAAAAACTTGGAGTATAAAAGTGGGGACTAGAAATGTTTGGCCTCTTTTCTCCTTTGGCCGTGCAGAAAAGCAGGCCAAGCAGTGACACAGTCCAAAAAAGAAAGAACAGCTCTCCTTTCTTGACACCAGAGGGAGAAGGTACACTGCCCTGGATACTGCACAGCAGCCTTAAAGTCAGGGTTTCAGGAAGCTTTAAAGGCAAGTGATAGAAAATTCTTTTTAGCATTTATTAAGTCAGCTTAACAAAACAACTGAAGTAATTAAGTCACCTTCTGATTCTCAGCCACCCATCAAAAGCCAAACCATACCTCTAATGCATTCTAAGCTGTAATATCTACAAGAACACCTCTCCTCTACAGTATTTCACCCAAGCTCCTGTGTCTCAGGAAATAGATCCAACTCAGAAGAGGAAGCCGAAGAAGCCACGTGATTTGGACACAGTCACTTAAATCTGAATCACACATTCATAGTCCAGCCAACACACTCTGCTGTCTACCAGCCAGCCTGAGAGGTCAGAGTGGGTACTCTGAGGATCTGTAAGATGTTCTTGCTTCTCACTAAAGAAACTGAAATTTGCTTTGGAGGAAGGAAAGAGAGAGGAGTGGAAGATCCCCCTTTCTTTCACAGCCTCCTCAATGCATCTGGCACCTTCAGGAAATTTTAGAACATCAACTCAGATCTACCCAAGTGAAACATTTTTCAGGCATCTGCTCCTCCCCTGCCTTCTCTTGCTTTTCCATATAATTTTGTTCCTCTTTTGATGATAAAAGTGGTAAAGTTACAGGAAATAAATGCAGGGCTAGCCCTCACAACGGGCCTGTCAGCTTCATAGCAGTCCAACATTCTTACTGAGTGAGCTGCTTAACACTTGCATTTGTGTGCTTACTTCTTTTAGAGACCAAAATCTCCACTCTGGGTGATTAACACACTCTTCCAACTAAGCACACGAGGGCTCCCAGTTTACAGCTGGGATACTAGACTCTGGTTCAGTTATCGGATTTAGGTCTTTAAAGGAGTCAGATATATAAAGTCACTCAGTCATGACATATTTCTGGATCAGGAACAGGGTAAGTTACGCATGCCACAGGATCTGTGACCTATAGAATTTAAATAACTCTAAAACCCTTCTGCCCATGTCAGAGATCAGGGAAGATATAAATGAAGACTTACTCTGATAGCTTGGGACCAATATTTGGGTTTTAACAATCCAATGAAAATACTAAATAACTTTTTCTCCCAGTATTTAAAAAACAAATTTGGACAGAGAAATTCTGCAGAGGATTTAAAAGCGACAGCCAATTAGCCTACTTTCAACACCCTCGTTATACCCACAGGAGGAGTTAAACCAATAGCAAAATGATGGTGCCAACTATTAACCTTCATAATTGCATGGAAAAATAATCTCATGTTGAAACACAGCCAATTTTAAGGAGGTTTTCTGCTATTCTCCCTCAACAAGGATATGGACATGCAAAGATGCAACGATACTTCTGGTCAGCAAGCAGATTCAGGCCTGAACACAGCTTTACTGTCCCTTGTTTACAAGGCTGTGGTTTCAGTGAGGGTTGACACAAACACACCGCAAAAATTTTATAGGAGCTCTTGTGGCAACCAGCCCTCAACAAATCCTCCGACTCTGTACTCCCTGCTGCCTTAAACCGACATACATATGTGGTCCTGCCAAAGGGGTTGTGCCACCACCCTCCATCTCTCTGGTACCAACACCAGGTGCTCATCAGCTATCTAGGACCTTTGAAAAGACAGTAAGGCACCTGTTTTCCTTTGCTTTCACAGAGCCAGGTCCCAGCAGGACTGGCTCCCAGAGTCGCAGTGCCAACACGAGGAAAAGGGAGCAACGTGCCATCCCCCTTCCAGTAGGGTCAAGCCTTACAATGACAAGCCTTCTGCTTGCTCCCAGACAAGCAGCCCACTCTCACCTGAGGTCTGCAACACCTATGGCAGTGCGGCTCTTAGCTAAGCAGCAGCCTTGGAAATACAGTTTATGGAGGCAGGGACATTGGTCCTCCCCCTCTGCCCCACCATGGACCCAGAAGAGATTTCGCCTAATGCCACTGTTTATTCATCAGACCTGCACTTTGAGCTGGCACCAAGGCTGTGCTGGCTGCCAGAGAGAGCTTTGGTTTAAGCAGTCTTTCCTTCAGGGGAAGAAGGACCAGCCTGGTGACTCTAACACATGTACCTCAGCACATGGCAGGGCACCCTTTGGGCTGAGCAGAGCAAAAGAAGAGAAAGCTTCTGCCCTGGGGCTTGCTTGCCAAACAGAAAGGGAGCCGCAGAGCAGCAGGCCACCAAGAAAGGGGTGTTACAGAACCACACTGTTTTCTGGTGTCATTTCACTGGTTAAACTAAGGAAAAAGGCCTCGTGAAGATGACTTCTACCTGTCAAAACTATGCTGGATACCCCATAATGGAAAGCACAAGAACCTTCTTACCCACTCATGCACAGCAAATACGTTTGTGCATACCAGCTGTTTCCTAGGCTGAGCTGAAGTGGGGAAAGAGCAGTTCTGGAATGGAAAACACGGAGCATCAAGACAAGCACACTTCCTTTCTGGTTGAGGCAGCAGAAGGAGCTTCCGGGGTGTGTGTGGGAAATGTGAGCGGTATCTATATCCACAGAAAGCTTTAGAGCATAGTCTACCAAATACATTAAACAAAGAAGTTGAACAACATGGTGCCAGCCTATCATCAAACTCACCCAGTAGGTTGTATCGGGCAAAGTTTTCCTCTTCGCCTCTGTAGATGGGTTCAAACCATCAGATCCCATTCAAAAAATCATGCAACATTTAAGAGCCAAAACACCAAACTGTCAAAACCGTGTGGCAAAAATGAAAGGGGGCAAAAACTAGGTCAGTAGTAAGTGCTGCGTGTAACAGAGTAGCCGGGGTGGGAATACAATTACTCCTGCTTTAAAGCAGCCTTGCCAAGCCTGAAGGAAAGCTGGGGTCACCAATTCTCTCTTTCCACCTCCTTTGTGCAAGGGACCTCTTTCCTCAACTGCGATAAATCAGCTTTACGGGTTTTGATGAAACCGGGCCACTTCACACTAACATTAGATGTAGCCTCAGTTTGCCTTTTATTTTCATGGTGCAAACAACCTAAATTCTTTGCTCTGCATTTCATCTGTCACAAATAATACCAGTACAATATACAGCACAGAACAGCTGCTATAGCTTTCAGAATACTTATCCACTCAAAAGTTAAAACTCCTGCTTATACAATATAAGAAGACAACATTGCTCTCTTTGATGGCAATTAGATGAATTGTTTTCTCTTTGCTATATTTAGATCAAGAGAAAGCTTTGGGATGACACTGATAGCCTGATGTTCTCCTAAGTTTTGGCTCTAGCAATCACTGCTGTTGGTAAATATGAAGAGAAGGAAAAAAACTCTTAAGAAATCTGAAGTGGTAAGGCCAAAATTAGGAGGAAAGATTACCAGGTTCTTGCCAATAAATAAAGCCAGAACAGGCATGCTGCTAAAATGACAAGGGACTTGGAACATACCGTCTAAGTGGCTAAAAGAGAACTTGAAAATACCACTCACTTTCAGCCTCAGATCACAAACAATAAAAACAGGAGAGATGGTACAGGAGGTTGTAAAGATTTGTAGCTTTCTTTCTCCATTTTATCTGAACACTGTTCCCTTTTGTCCCACAAGAAAGACACAACACATAGCCCCAAAGGGCGATTTTGCTGGCAGAGCTGAAATCAGACCCTCCCCAAGAGGGTCAAAAGGATTATTTTGCCAGTATTGAGCCCAAGTACTCTTTTCAGCCAACCCCACATCACAGTATAAAGGCACCACAGCCCTGCAGACCCACCTTCACCAGCAAAACCCCAGAGCCTGGGTCAGACTTCACATGCAGGAGCAGGTCCTCACTTTGGTCCTAATCCTGCCAGGGGCATGGGAGCCAGCAGGCGCTGGAGGTGACACACCGGGGACACTCAAGGACACCTGTGCTGGGGCTGAGTTCCTGCGTCCTACCCGGGTGGCACAGAGCCTGGGAGCCCCTGCTTTCCCCCGAGAGCCACCACGGGCTGCTGGCAGGCAGGGGACACACAGGGACACACCGGGGCTGGCTCTGCTTCCCTGCTCATCCAAGCGCATGGCCGGAGACAGGGACATCACACACCTACATTTAAAAGAAAAAAAACCGCACACGCACCCCCCAGGCAGAGGTTCTGCAGGAGGCCAGAGGAGACCCTGCGCCCGTGCAGATGTTCTGTCTCCCCACATGTCCCTTCTAAGGCTTAAAAAGCTGCTGCCGCTGAAAGTGCGCCCGGGGCACTTCCAAACGAAACCTGGGATGGCAGGTGGGGACGCCACCGCCCAGGAGAGCTAGATGGACGCGTATTTTACGCACGTATATTCAGAAACACACGTGTAAATATATATTTATACATGTACATGTATGAAACACATACCTAAATAAGAATATACGTATACGTACGTGTATATACACACACACACACAGAGATGCGGCGACCCCGGGACCCCGCGCGAACGTCAGGCCCCGGCCCGCGCCGCCCCAGCCGCAGCCCACAGCATTCCCCCCGGGGGCGCATCCGTATCCCCTATCCCCCATCCCCGATCCCGCTCCCGATCCCGCTCCCCCGGCCGGCCCCGCTGTTTACCTGCTCCCGGCCCGGCGCGCGCCCCCCGCCGCTCCCATTGGCTCCGCCGCGCCCCGGCCCCGGCGCCGGCCGCGAGGGACGACCGCGCCCTCCCATTGGCCGCCCGGGCTGTCGCTCCGCCGCTGTCCCCGCCCAAGGGACGGGGTCGACCAATAGGGAGGCGGCTGTCGCTGCCCGGGGAGGTGGCATGTGAGGCGGGGCCGCCATGGAGGGGAGGCTGCGGGCGGTCCCGGGGCTTAGAGTCGGAGGGAATCGTGGGGTGGTTGAGCTTGGAAGGGACCTTAAAGGTCATCCAGTTCCAACCCCCACTGCCATAGGAAGGGACGTCTTCCACCAGGCCTCTAAACCCCATCCAACAGTTGAACACTTCTCAGGGATCGAGCAACCACAAGTTCTCTGGGCAGCCTGTTCCAGTGCCTCACCACCCTCACAGCGAAGAACTTCCTCCTAATACCTGATTTAAAACTGTCCTCTTTGAGTTTTAATCCATTCCCCTTTGTAGTGTCAGTACATACTTTTGTAAAAAGTCCCTCTCTGCCCTTCTTGTAGGCTCCCTTCAGCGGCTGCAAGGCTTAAATGTTTATCAATGCATTCCTTCAGTAAATTTCCATCAGGATCTGCACACTACGCAAGTGTGCAGATCCTGATGGAAATTAAAAGGGATAATAATCAGGTAGAAGTGTGGAGAACTAAATAGAGATGCCAGAGGAAATGGTCAAAGAATGGTTCTGCTGGTGTTGTGTCTGACCTCTGCTCAGTCTACAGATGAGAGGGGCGAAGAAAAGAAAATCACGATTTCACATTATTTGCTACGGGTGTGAGAAGTTTGTATTTTCAGAATGTAAGCTTTTTTGTTGTTTATTTGTTTTAAATTAGCATGATAGTAAGCAAGATAATTCCATAGACAGATGAAACTGCTCTTCAGTCAGCACACAAACCACTCCTGCCTCTGTTCCCATTGCTTTATCAAGCATCAGTCAAGTGAAATTAAAATTCTGGCAGCTCTGTATCACTTGTTCATCATCTGTGGGGGCAGCGACACAAACTGAAGTCATGGCAATTTCCTTCTACTGCTGTTGTCATTTAAGGAAGAACCTCAGGTACTAACACAGGGAGTATTTGCAGCAGAGCTTCACAGTCCTCTTTGCTCCATGCCATTCGTGATGATCTTGCATACAGAAGAAATGAAGGGTGAGATGGCAATGAAGGAGACATGAGATACAGTAAGTGTACTGCCCCACTATATATCATTGGGCAAAATGGAATTTTTTGCAGATTCCAAATCTAAGTTGGCCATCATGCTCTTTTCCCAAAATTTCCTGCACAATATTGGTGACAAGTGGTACACCGTCCTTGTACCTGTAATCCTTATTCTGAACCACTCTGCACACAGAAATAAGTTACATGTAAAATTCTTCAGAGCCCCAGAAAGCTGCCTATCCAAGCATGGCCAGCTGGCCTTTGCCAAGGTAAAGTCAGTCTGAGAAAATTGATAAATTGAGTGCTTGGATGTGTTCTTCACTAGCAGATTGTCAGAGCTTTTCTAACATTTTTCTCTCAAAAGCTCTGTCTACCTTTCCTCTTCGTGCTGAGCTGTTGAATTCCTTTTCACTGGACTCTTGATCCAGCTGGAGGTTTTTTAAATGGGAATTTTTCTGATTAATTTAATCCTTCATGCATTGTATGCTCAGCTGGTTGTTAAGTTTAGTATTAGGAGTAGGAGCAATTTTGGTTGCACTCAGCTTTACCCAAAACCAACAGTTGCTTTATATCCCTTTACTTTTACATGGAGCTTACGTATCTGACACAAATTTGGGATAATAGTTAAAATATTTTTCTGTTTTAAAGCATTTTACAACTTCAAAGCCAAAGCACTGACAGTCTGAACTGTGCTACTTTTCACCTTACCAGTCTAGATAAGCCTGCCCAGAGTAATCACTGAGCCAGCACCATGCACATTTCCAGTGAAACCCCTGATCTGTGCAGGAGATAGGGAAATCGTTCTTAGGCTCCGTCTGGTAGGGGCTGAAGAGATGGGAACTGGTTTTACAAGCCCGGTTGCCCTTTATCAGCAGCTTTAGAAGCTAAACTTGCAGCTTTTTGTATCTCTTAAAATATGCTGCTCTGTTGTATGAAGGGCTCTGGAAAAGGTTACGTTGAGGTGAACTACACAGGTCTCTGGCCTGAAATTTAGAGGCAAATTCACTGTTTATTTCCACATTCTCACTAGATCCTCTCTTTTGCTCTCACCCAGATGGACAAGTGCAAAGAGGTCTTGTGCATCCTAGCCAAGGGTTTTAGGAAAAATTACATGTACTGCAACCTTCATGAAAGTACAAGAGCTGATGGCCCTGGGGCTGTGGGTATGTGAAACCCAGCTGTCTTTCTGAGAATGTATATCCTGCCTGACTCTTTTGTAGTTTTCAAAGGCAAAAATCTAGCTTAACTCAGTGTTCCTTTTCTGTACCCTAAAGTGGGTTTAGGAAGACAAATAGTTGTTACAGTCTCTTTGTCCATGAGTGTTGCTTCCTTGCAGCTTTCAGTCAGAATGCCAATTCACATGTTTTTTCCTAGCTGCATCATGTGAGGAGCATCTGACCTGAGAGCAACTTAAAAGGCTCCTTGAGCAAAGCCCCACGGTATCATATGGCCATCAAAAATATTTCTTCCTTTTTTTCTATTTCAAACAGATCTGTGCAGACATTTTCTTAAAGGATCTTTTGCAGATAATGTAAAATATGCCTGTTCCTAGGAAAATCATGTGACAAGCTGCATCACAGCTGCGTGATGTGGGAGGTCAGTGTCTCTTGCCAGGCTGGTGGTTGTTCTGAGGAACGTTGGGACATTCTCTGGGATTGCCCTAATGTTCTCCGTTTTGTTACTGAGATGTTTACAGTAGGAAATCTCAGGGAGATTTTGGTCATAAACTGTCGCAATCCTCCAAATATATCCAAGGAATTGTGACTGTTTTATTTCAGGAGACGTAAATAATACCCGGAAATAGACTACTGACACAAATTCAAACAGAGATGCTCCCTTGACTTTTGAATGGAAACAGACGTAACTCCATCTGTCAAAATAACATTAAAACCTCTTGTGCTTGCACAGAAGATTTGAATAGGGTCAGGCCCAGCATATCTGAGGTTTTGTGCTAGAATAGACAGTACTTTCCAAGAGTCTTGCTCAGTTTATTCCACTCTGCAGATCTGCAGAGCCTCAAGGAAAGGTCATTACAGAATACCAAAGCAAACATTTTTCTCATAACTGAAGGTGATCTGCTAATTCATGAAATGACTTAGCAAGCATCCAGGCCTCATTACGGAGTGTCACCTTAGGGCAGGAATCATATACTGGTGTCACACTTCTGTGCGGATTTTTAAAGAGTATCCCCGGGCTGGTGTATCCTTGGCACCTCAGATCCAACCAGACAGTTCAGACTTAAGCCCCAGTACCAAAAATCACTATCCTTCTGTCTAAAACAGAGCTAAGTATGGATCTATAGTTCCTAGGGCTGTAGACTATGGATCTGACTCTAGGAAGCACACCTCCATCGTAAGGGGATACTAATCAGTTGTGTCATGCACAGACCTGAGATCATTTCACGGTCCATTCCTTCCAGGTCTACAGCATCACAGAAGCTGTGTAGATTATTGTTTTCTAATGGATGTAGAAATGAGCTAAACATGAGCTAAACATCTCTCAAACAGACAAGGCCACGGTGGTGAGAAGGGAATGGGAATTAAATCTGGTAAAGTGTGCAGTTACAAAGCAGTCAGTGATGCATCCAACTCAGTGGAATGCCACATAAGTCTTGCTTTTAAACACAGGTCCTTTGCAGGCTCATCAAGCAGGACTAGGACAGCCCGAGTGGGAGTGCCTGGGAGCAGAGCTCCTGCTGCTGGGGTGCCCTCTGGACTACTGTCTCTCTCAGACAGCTTCTCCTGCCTCCTCATGTACATGTTCTGTACAGTTTTGCTAAAGAATCAAGTATCCCTTTAGGAGACAAATGCACCAGTCTGAAGATCAGTATTATGCCTTTAAGGTTGTTGATATCTCTTTGGCTTTCCAGATCTTGGGACAAATCCTTCAGGCAATCCCAGGCTCTGAGCAATTAGCAGACCTCTTCATGTGACTTGGAAAACTGTGAGTTAACACTACTCTGCTCTGTTTGAAGTCAATGACAAATAAATAACGACATTAACTGAAATTATTTCAGTCTTGGGAAAAAAAGAAACATAAATATCTAATGTTTTTAAACATGTACATGACAGGGGAAAAAAAAAAAAAGAGAGAGAAAAAAAAGTTCCCCATAACTACACAGGTGAATAATTGTATAATTTACTTAGGTCTATTGCTGTCCATGGTGGGGGGATGTAAGTAGTGTGAATTATACATTAATATCCAAATAAGTCCTTCCTGGTTGTATCTGAAGGAGATTCCCCCTCCACTACCTGTGAAGGAGACTCGCTGTGCCCACTAGGGGACAGAGCTCTGCCGCGCACGTCCTCTCCTCGGCAGCGGGATGAACTCTGACATCTGCAGCCCCAGCTCCGGCACGCTCTTTGATAAGCCTTTCAGGGGATTTTTAGTGCAATTTCTGCGAAATACATTATCTGCTCATAGAGCCCTCTCTGGAGACCGTATCTGTGAAATGTCTCGTGTTGCAAAGCTTCTGACATTACCAGAACGACTGTTTTGAAGCCTCGTTGTTTGCTGGATTCCACCACGCTCTTCAGGCATTAAGGTTGAGCCCAGCTTGCCTTTGCTGGAACAGTTGTATCGTGACCAGTATTCCCATTGCTAGAGCTACAGCTGAAGCAGCATGGGCAAGAAAACCGAGAGAATATAGGCAAAAACATATTTTTCACTCCCCTAAGGGATAAGGGGGAATGTGTTCTATTTCGATTTTTGTTTAAAAGAAGCAAAAGGTTTAATTGCTTTCTGATTCTGAACTTCTCTCATGTATTCACGTTAAGCAGCAGTTTTCCAGAGTCCATTGTCCTATTTCTGCAAGCCTCTCTGCACAGAAGCACTTAGAATAGTTTATTTTAGTAAATTTTAAAGT